CTGATGGGTAGGGGGCTGTGGGCCAGGAGTGCAAGGCACTGGCAGGGTCAGGAGTGAGGGACACCAGCAGGACTGGGGGGGCTTTGGCTTAGGAGTGAGAGGCAACAGCATATCAGGGCTGCTCAGCACCACAAAGCAGTGGTGAAGGCAGCCACAGTTGGACCCACATCCTGGTGAGCAAAGGGGGCAGAGGGTACTCTGATTGTCCATGATAAAAAAACAAAATCAAACGCCAAAATATATAGGTATTTATAATTTATTTTATTCTGATTACTGAGGCACTGATAGGCTTCCAAATTGCTTTCAGGGGTTTTCAATCAGAGAATTTGGGATTTTTATGCAGAGAAAGCCAGGATCCCTGGTTATAAGAACAGAAGAGAAAGAACATCTAACTTACTGCCCTTCATAAAGCTTCTCTAGCATCACCACCACTCCAAAGCTATGGTCCCTAGGACATGGATCATCTCTGTTTGTACAGCACCCAGCACAGTGCGGGCTGGGTCAGGCCTGGAACATTTTGTGCTACAACATTTTGTGTGAAAGTAGTAAGGGCTCCAGGAGGATGGAATATTTCCAGATTACTTTACAGCAGTGGTTCTCAATCTCGTTAGAATCAAGGGCCCACTTATTAGACTCAAGGCCGCCATTTGCACTTATTTAACTACAGAAAAATGATCAAGCAGTTCTTCTGTTGCAAAGAACTCAGAAAGTTAGAATAGTTTTAACACTATGGATTCATATTGGAAATCTCTGGGTTTCTCCTGTGAATTATGTTTATGCATCTAACAATGCTAACATTGCCTGGCACCCCTGAAAGAATCTCAAGGCACCGTGGCTGAGAATCGCTGCTCTATAGTAAAGGAAACTCACCATGCATTCTCCTCCAAGGAAGTCTGGGATCACATCTTTGTCCAAGTAGTCTACAAGCCCTCCGGGACCCTGGTAGTTATTGCCACTGTAAATGAGGAACTTCTGTCTGGTGTTCTCATTGATAAAGGGACTAACCTGAAACAAATATGGACAGAACACATTTATAAGCCACGGACTGAAACCAGACAATATATCACACCACATTACAAAGTGCTCCCAGCACCTCAGTTGGGACAACCTAGTTGACAGGGACACCAAATAGCATTTGCATGAAGCTCACAAACCATAAAGGCGGTATCCAGAAAGAAAAGCAATGCATGAAAGCATTTCCACACCCTCTCTCACAATTTCTCTCCCCATATAGGATTAAGCTAGAAGTCACCTTCCCTTCCCCTACACTGTTCCTGAACTGCGTTGGGGTTTATCAGATGACTGTCAAGTCCCAGACAGAGTTGCTGTCCATACTTTGTTCCTTGGTGCTCTCTAACTGGGATTTAAAAGCAGCATATCATACCCTCTTAAACCATCTGCAGCACTAACTTCAGGAGCTTCAGTGTTTAAAAAGTCTCTCAGTGGCTACAGGACAAAGGATGGGGACATGACATATGTACTCTGTAGCATTCTTAATTTACTTCCAAGGAAAAATATAGCCGATGCATGACAAACAGCATTTATTCCAAAGAAAATGCTGTTCAACACTGCAAATTACTTCCTCAGAAGTAAAAAATAAATATAACTCCAGGGAAATCTACCTTGGCACGCATGCTTGTGTCCACCGCTATAGTAATGTCTCTATTTGCACAATCCAAACCAGCTCTCCCACCACCAACTGGCCAGATGCTGCAATAGCACCTACTTCAGGCAGCAAGCTGGGGAGAGTTAATTGTGCATCTGCTTTTTTATTATGGAGTAAATTCCAAGGTAAATAAATTATTACAGAGTAAATGTGTCCACACCCAAAGTCACAAAGTTGGCCTAAATGTTAGTTGCTGTGCAACACAGTGCTATGAAAGGACTTGTGTCAAACTCCTCAGTTTTAGTGGAACATCAGAAGTTGGGAGGGAAGCCAAAAAAACACCAATAAGGCCTGCTTCCTGCCAATGCTAGAACTCTAGAAAGAGGTATGCTCATCTCTCCTCAGGCCACTGACAAGTCAAGTCATCTGAAGGGTTTTCCCTCTCTAACACAGAGCCTACACAGCTTTGGAGATAAGAACTGGATCTGTTCTAATCTTCTGTTCAGCAGAGATTTCACCTACCAGAGTCCATAGCACAGGGAAAACCCTGGGTGCTCGCACTATCAATAGCCTCCCCAGAGTCTCAGGGTAATTGTCCTCTACAACTTCAATTATCCTAAGAAGGGCTTTAACACCAGGCCGCCAGAGGTGGCGCATGTTCAACCCTTCTAAATCCACCAGACATGTCCAGGATCTGCAACACAAAGAATTAGAGGTCCTCACTGCACAGCAATAACCTAATTCAAGTCTGTCCAACTTCCATGGACCCTCTGTCATACTGCCGGCACCTCCTATCTGCCAAGATGCACTGTGCGGGTGCTCCCATGGGGCTCTGACCCCTGAGTGGCAGGTTCCTTGAGCTCTGTGGCTGCACTACCCTGCCATCAGGGGCAGGGGCAGAAAGCTAAAGCCAAAGTTGGTGGAGGAGGTGGGAGCCTGAAGACCCTAGTGCAGCAGCTAGAACAGTGGGAAGGGGAAGTGGTACCCATGGGCCACATGTTTGACAGCCCTGACCTAATTCATCCTCAATACAGTCCCATAATTGAGCCTGCACATTCAGCAGAAACACACATTGCAGAGGAATCTTTAGCTGATAGTGTTTAATAACCCAATGGGGTACTGGCTTTTACAATGGAGTAACAATTCTACTGTCACTTGAGTAGCAGATGACTTCAGGGCAAGGGCCTCTCCAGAAGACTGCCTCTACAAGCAGAAAATGGATTCCCTTCTCCCAGAACGATGGTCATTTTGGAAGTCGCTAAAGGTGTTTAGGCACTGACTAAAATGGCCAGCTGCTAATTTAAAATCACCTAGGCACAATGTGGGCATTGGGTCATGCCACTAGAGAGTTATTTTATGTGGGCAGTACTTTAAATCATGCATTAGTTAAAAAGTGATCCTGTACAAGTGGAACCAGTTGATACAGTCTCTAAGAATAGCCATGGCCAGGGCCATCCCTAGTGTGGGGCGAATTGGGGCAACTGCCCCAGGCCCCGCAGAACCGGGCACAGCAGCAATTCCGCACCACCGCCACTGGCTTCACATCTGGCCGCTTGCTACCTCACCACCACCGCCAATGACAGCAGCGGCTTCTTTGCATCTGTGGGAGAACGAGATTGGCTAATTTGCCCCGGGCCCTGCACCCTGCTTGGGTTGGCTCTGGCTATGGCCCACCTCAGATGTAGCAGAGCAGCTAGGCAATGTAATGAGGAGCAAATACTCCTTTCCCACCTTGCCTCATACCAGGTTGCATAATTCATCTACAGTGAAGTCCACTATTGCTCTCCCCCAACCCCGCCCCCCGCAGGTCTGCAGCTTAGTTCCCAAAATTCTAGTTACTTATTTTGATAAAATCCTACTAAAATAGGCAAAGTAGTCAAAATATCTTAAAAGCAACTAAAATGTTACTTCCACCCTGGTTATTAACACCTGCTGGGGTCTTAGCAGAGCTAAATGTATACTAACGTGATAGGGCGGCCAAAAAGGTTGGTGTTCTCCTCACACCTCTTTTGTCCTTCCTCATTAATTGACAGTACCTGAAATGACAAAGAGCATCAACTGACATTACCTTGGCAACCAAGACAGTGGCTATCCCCAGACTCTAAGACGGAACTTGGAGGTAACCACATGAATCTTTCTTCATGAACAGCGAGGAGCATGCCAGCCTTATTCATTTATGCAGAACAAGAAACAACAGTTTTCTAAAACAGGCTTCTTTTCTTTAAAAATAGTTTTTCTAAACTTTCTTAGGCTTAAAAATTCATGTCTCACACACATCAAGAACAGGCACCTAGAGTGGGATTCAAACTGATGCTAATCAAAGAAGAAACCCAAGTACATCTAAGTGTTCCCACTTAGTTTTTCCCTCCGTTTTGCATTCTGAGTTACAGTAAGAGTTCCTGAACCAGGCCAGAGTCAAGTTCTGGAATGACTCATTGAGATGAAGTGGAGTTAGGACTGCAAAGAATTCAGTCCCAAAGCCTTATTTAATAAAATGTGGTAACAAGCCACATAGCCTTAGTAATAACTCATATAGTACCCATGTAATGCATGCTGAACCACTATCTGTTTAGAAAGAGACACAAGGACACCCGATATGCAAAACCTCAGAACCTTTTTTTTTTTCCCTCCAACTGTTAGTCAAGGAGATTCCTTTTTCCTGTGCTGACCTGCTGCTGTGATATGGACTAATTATGGAGGCAAGAAAAGAAGGCATCTCTTACATGTCGTAGGAGTGACTCTTCTCCCAGGGCCTTCACCAAACCTTTTGTATCCATTTGCCCAAGGCGAAGTATGTATAGGGGGCGGCCATCTTCAAAAACAGAGAATAAATGTTAAAGGGAAAATATTAAAGCTGAAGTACCAAAAGGAGAAAAAGATTCTGTAGAGAATTCATATGCAAAAAAACCTGAAAAGCAGCATGCAGACTGACCAGTGTAACTTCAGCTTCCTGTGAACAATACAATCCTACATGCCTGAGAGATAGAATAGCTCAAAAAGGTTGATAGGAGCAATGTGGTTCATTATCTAGGCTACTGACCAAACACATCCCAGGACAACATTGCCCTGAGATGACCCATACACAACAGATGCTGATATTCTCAATCCAGTGCGACTAGGTGATTACATCACAACCTCCTTGCCAACAGGCTCAGAGAGGCTGAAGGTCAAATGAGCAGGACTCTAATTTTGTGTTTTATCCTCAGAATCTGTCCTTTAAAGGTTAGTAGGAGAATTTTCATTACAAAGAGTGTTAATAACTTGACTTTATCATAAAAACTCAAAGAACAGAAATGGTGTTCCAAGAATGCTCCTGTGAAAAGAACATTTAGGGCATGTGTAGACAAAATGGGGGCCCAAAATTGAAGCAGTGGGTTTTTAAAAACACCACTTCAATTTAGGGCCCTTTAAATCCCTGTGTTGTGCGCACACTCGAACTTACCTGCCTCTCCAGTGGCAGGGAGGGGACGGCGAGCTACTCGTGGCTGGAGCGGTCGCTGGGCTGCCAGTGGGGAGGCTCTGCAGGGCTTCCTGAAGAGCCCCTGAGCTGCACGGAGCCTGGTGCTTCACTCCATGGCTGCAGGGCAGCAAACTAAAACTCCCCCAAGACCCCAAGTCATTTGAGACACATTACGCCTCCGAATTTGCTACATCAGCTGGAATTACGGTGCAATATGCCACCGACGTGTGCAAACATCAACACTATTAAAGTGGTGCAAAAGCATTTAACCCGCTTTAAAGTGTTGTGCACACATACCCCTCATTTTGTCTACACATGGCCTTAGATTTGATCCATTCACATATAAAAATAACTAGACAATATTCAAACGATGAGGACATTCATACCCATTAGGAATCTTTATCATGACAGGATTCTTCATTATGTTACAGTGTGATGGGTTAACCCAACTGGCTCTACACAGCAACAGGTTACTTATGTGGTCTCATTGAGCACTATACTGTGGCAGTAGTGCAGAGATGGCTTCCTACCTCTGTCCTGGTAATGCCACCCTCCAGTGTAATACTCCTCCAGAAGGGGTGGAGGTCTCCAGGTCTGCAGAATGTAGTCCACTTGGTACTGTTTGCGCCAGGTCAGTGACTGGCAGAGCATGTCCCGTGCTTTGTCAATGTTAAAGTCACGAGCCCTAAGGAATCGAAGGATATGCTCGTCTTTGGGGATCTGAAGGAGAAAAAAAGAAGAAACATTCAAAAGGGTTAGACTTGTCCGATTATCAACACACTTCTCCACAAGCACAGCAGACATAGAAGCAGCTTCTTGATCCTCAGGGGAATAGAGAATGATTGCGAGTTCATGTCCACTCCTACTCCAATGTGCCTGCTCCAGCTAGCTGTAGTAAAAGAATGCCAGGGCTGTAGGAAAATGACAAGCCAATCCCTGTCCTCCCTTCCCTTACAGAGAGATGGTCCCACTACTTACCTGGACCTACACACCATGTATATTCACTCTGGAAATACTGCAAGACTAAGAAGTGAGTATACTGAGCCACCTGCTGGAAGCTCCAGAGAACTCCAAGCCAGTTGTGGTCTCCTGACATTTCCCCAGCTAGCTACCTCACAAGCAGAAAAAGACAAATTCTTCATAATAACCAAGCTGTAGTGTTACCTCCCTGGAGAGCTGAACAAGACCACAAGAGACAAAAAAGCCACACAGAACCATGCAAAGGACAAAAAACACCGTCAGTCTACCCATTAACCTGGTTAGCCTTTTGTAACTGTCGAGACTGGTCAAGGCTGTGCAGGTTGGGAACAGACGCCCTCCTGCAGGCTTTATTCTCTGCAGGCTGGGAAGCTAAGCAGGCCTGGGCCTGGTTCAGACCTGGATGGGAGGCTGCATGCCCTTCGGGGGTCTTTAAGAAGTGGCTTGATGCCTACCTGGCTGGGGTCATTTGAGCCTAGTTTTCTTCCTGCCCAGCCAGGGGGTCGGACTTGAAGATCTACAAGGTCCCTTCCGACCCTACTTCTATGATTCACCTGGCAATATAGAACGCTAAGAAGAACTTTGTGTAGGCCTCCCATCACTCTTCACTACAGGTCCCCTTTCCTGCTCTTCCACACCACATTAAGATCTTTCATGTCTTTACAAAAGTACCCTCCCTTGCAACTTTCCCCTTTTCTTTTACCATGTGTTGCCCAGGATGGATAAAAATCAAAGTTTTGGGGTGGTTTTTTTAAATAAAAAAAGATGGGATTTTTTAATTTAAATCCTTTTTTTAAAATGTAATCATATTTTTTAATATGCTTTAAAAATAAATCTATATATAGTTTTAATTTAAGATGTGTTAAAGCTCAAAGATATCATCACAGAATAGGGATTATAACTTCTAATTATATACCAGCAGAGGTGGTGCAGTTGCCATCTCTGGCAGTCTTTAAGAGGAGGCTGGACAAATACCTTGGCTGAGCTTGTTTGAGCCCAATTACCTCCTGCCCATGGCAGGGGACCGGACTTGATGACCTTACAGGTCCCTTCCGGTCCTTCTTTCTATGGTTCTAACAAGAATGAACTTTTTGTAGAAAACAATGATTACATGGAGGCTTCCTGACCACTGATTTAAATCAATCTGATTTAAATCAAATTGACCCTGGTGTTCCCCTTAGTTAAATCCTCAAGCATCAAAATGCCTATTCATTCACTTCTCTCAAAAACATTTGTGCTTCCTCCGCAACTTGGTGTGGAACATCCACCATAAAATAATGTTTAAAGCCTCTCTCTTAACTTCCTTCCATTCCCCCCAGAGATCCTATTCTACTTTGAAGTTAAAGATAATTTGCCAGCTAATGATAACCAGACAGGTTGTCAGCAAGGATTACTGACACCATTAACAGATCCCAAACACTGATGAATTGCACTCCAAACCTGCAAGTTGTGTATGCAGCTCATCTCACCTTCCACTCATGGCTGTTTCCATCCTCCTCACCTTATTCCCTCAGTTTGTTTAAACTGAGGCAAAATGTAACAAAACAAGGTTAGACTGTAAGGTCTCAGAGCACAGCTGGCCTCTTCCCATGCATTTTTATGGTGTTAGCACAATAGTGCTCCAATCCCAATTGGGCAAACTGTCTACTACTGTCATACAAACAAAACGTGTGTTCAAGAGTCAAAGCTCTTTTGTCAGCTCACTGATGCACTGCTAAAAATGGAAGGAGGCAGCAGCAGCAAAAAAAGTCATGCATCTCAGACTGATTTGAGGCTGCAACAGAGACTGTTGCTAAAAATTGATATAGTAGAAGGAGGCTGAGTTAGTATTAACATTTCTATTCCACTGTCAATTGTACATCTGTACAGACTAGATATGGGAGGAAGCAAGGTTTTAAATCTCAAATGCATTTAGGAGAAGGTATTCATGAAGACTTTTCCTCGTCACAGCAAATTTAAGAGTGGAATTTTTACAGAATGATTTGAACTCACAACTTCAACCACAGGAAGCCAGTAGCCATGGGACAAAGACAGCAGAGGAAAAGCAAAACCAACAACATTCAGGGAAGCCTCAGAGTCCCAGTAAAAGGTCATCTAAAGGCGATGGTCATTGCACAGATGTTGTGATATTGTGATACTTCCAAGGCCCTTATAAGGCCTCAGGTTGCAATGAGTTCATGCATCATTTTCTATGAGTCTGTGATCTATGATTAAGACACTACTTCCTACACAAGAGGAAAGTTAGTCACAGCAATGACCAGAAAGGATAGGTATGAGACAGAGTTACAGTCTTTGGTATAGTGATGGAAGAATGATGCCTTACCTTTGGGTCAGATGAAGAGCTCCAAGGGGATTTAAGTTGCTCATACAATCAATTTTTAAGACCCAGTTAAAAGGCATGAAGTTTTGAAACTAGGGACCATTTGGCACATGATTAAAGTAATTCCAACTGGAGTAATTCCCACGTGCTGGAAAACAAAGCTTTCATTCTACCCTATAGTTCTAATTATTGGGGTAACAGCAGATGCATGACGAACAGATCCAAGGAGGTGATACTTCCCCTCTATCGGGCGCTGGTCAGACCGCAGTTGGAGTACTGCGTGCAGTTTTGGGCGGCGCACTTCAAGAGGGATGTGGATAACCTGGAGAGGGTCCAGAGAAGGGCCACTCGTATGGTTAAGGGCTTGCAGGCCAAGCCCTATGAGGAGAGACTAGGGCACCTGGACCTCTTCAGCCTCCGCAAGAGAAGGTTGAGAGGTGACCTTGTGGCTGTCTATAAATTCATCATGGGGGCGCAGAAGGGAATTGGTGAGGCTTTACTCACCAAGGCGCCCCTGGGGGTCACAAGAAATAATGGCCATAAATTAGCAGAGAGCAGATTTAGACTGGACATTAGGAACTTCTTCACAGTTAGAGTGACCAAAATCTGGAATGGGCTCCCAAGGGAGGTGGTGCTCTCCCCTACCCTGGGGGTCTTCAAGAGCAGGTTAGATAGGCATCTGGCTGAGGAGTCTTTTTTCCTGCCTATGCAGGGGGTCGGACTCGATGATCTATTGAGGCCCCTTCCGGCCTAACATCCTGCTTTAAACAGTAACAAAGGCCCATTTAGAGGTTTGGGTAGGAATCTGCAGTGCTAACAGTTGCATTTATGAGTCTCCAGTTCCTCCTGCAAATAAATCCAGTGGTCTTCAAATTACAGCACACCTTATAACAACATCCACTGCCTTGAAAGGGGTAGGGAATAGATGGTAAAACTGGACCAGAAAAGAGTATTAATTAGCACAAAAATCTAGAGAGGCAAACTGCCAGAAACAGATGCCTGCAGTGATCTTTGGAAGACATGACAAGGACATATTTACCCCTGGACTAAAAAAACCAGAATGTCACAGCAAGAAATCTGCCTGCTCAGGGTGAACTTGAATGGCACAAGTCAAGCTTCTGCCTTCAAACCATCCTGACAAGCAAGCTGTTTTAAGAGAAGCAGACGGGAGAGCAATAAAAGGGACCTGAGATGAGATTTGAATTGCCAACATCACCCATCTGCTTGTCAAGGATCTCCCAGGAAATGGGGAATAAACAAAACTCATTAAAAGGGTGCAAGGCTACCTACAGCTGTCACTAATGCAGTTGCTTTCACCTACTGTCAGATCCAGTGCAGCTGAGCACAGCAAGCAGCTGCCAGCAAAAGCGCACACACACACAGAGCTTAGACCACCCCAAGAGGCAGCTCTTTCACACTGCTCGCATGCTCCAAATTTTACCTTTTCCGGCTTCCATTCCCCAGCCTCTGACTAAAGAGAAAAAACAAACAAACAAAGAACAAACATTTATATTGTGCTTTTCAACTCAAAACCTGGGCCCTGACAGATTGAAAACATGGCTTCCAGACATATTTGAGTCAGGCTGGAAGTCCAACAGTTAGTACAATCGCCGGCATATAAGATAAAGGATTTCACATTGTTCTGCTGGATGGACTGCAGTTTCTATATCCCAGAGCACACCCATGTGTCCGAGGACCTGCCTACACTGCCGAGAATGCTGTGCTTTTAACCTCGGGAGAATGCACGTGAACTCAGCCATTCTGAGGGGAAAGCATGACAAAGACCAGACATGTTAGCTACACTTTTAGGTAAATTCAGTGAGGCCAGCCACATGCACCTAAACTGGGGCTGACCTTGGCAAATTTCTCTCAGAAAAACTGAACTGCCTCATCTTTGTTGTGCTTTTCCTTTGGGATGGAGGATGCATGTTCGTTATGGGATTAAAAAAACAAACAAACATAAAAACATGGCATTTTCAACCTGGCACACACCAATACCACTCTCTCTCTCCCTGCTTAGAGCACCATAAAGCAGCATGCAATAAATCTGGCTGTAGCACGGTTTGCAAATTCTCGTTTCTTTTGGAAAGGGAAGTACAATACTCCTAGCCAAATCCCCTTGCCTCTCAGAAGCACTTACCAACAAAATGAGTAACCTTTATCACGGGGAATTAATTTAATAGGCTCCCATCCCACATTGTGTAACTGATTTTGAGCAACCACCTACTCTGTTAGGGAGCAGCCACTTTTGGGACTCGCCGGATCCACAGTGGACAGGGTTTGCCCTGGATTTCTCTCTCCTATTTTCTGTTCTCTTGGCCAATCCCCTTCCACACAGCACTCACTCTAGCCAGCCCACCCAAGCACAGCTCCTGTCTCCCTTGCTCTATATCAGGCAATCTGAGGGTTGGACCCTACTCTGGGCTTTCAGGAAGGTTGGATCTTTTGGTTCCCCACCCACTCTCATAAGCGACACAAACAGGTCTGATGGAAAGTCTGCCCACAGGCTAGGAGAGCCGGACAGGAAGCTCTACTCAGAGCTCAGGAATTCTGCTCCTAAGCAGCCAACTCAAAGATGAACATTAATTACTTCTTTCCCTACTCCCTGTCCCTTGGAAACAGAAACAGAGAACATCTATTTTCCAACCCTTTGGTTCCCGCTACCGGTAGAAGCCTGCAAACTCAGAACAGGACTAAGAGATATGAACCAGTCCCTCCCTCCACTTGCATTTCACAGGGGTGAGCCAAGCTACTGATTTTGACTACACAAGGCTTTTGGTTTGTATGTTTGATCCAATCAGAAACTCAGAACTGCTAATTTCTAGCAGTCAGGTACATTTTCCCCACATGGTGACGCAAACAAGTTTTCACGCAGACATATACAGAACAGCCGAAACTGGTGAAGCATGGTCCAGCCCTGGGTGGGAATCTCCATCCAGTAGGGTCAACTCCTGGATGTGTGTCTGGCTGGGGTGATGGAAAGAAGCCCAGGCAGCACGCCCTCACCAGGGTTGTAGAGCCTCTCAAGCTCCACTGGAGAAGTCTTGATAAAATTTGTAGGCAAACTCACCCCTGGTGCAATGCTGTTTTAATTAACAGAATGATGGTAGGGACATATTTGGCCCACAGTCTCTCCCCATCTTTGGGGCCAAACATTTCCCT